TTCACCTAATATTCAAAAAAAATGTTTGGGGATGTGAGAAATCTTTTGCCAATCTTCACCCATCTCCTCCTTCCCGTAACGTTTCCTTAGAATTGGGCACCCTTCTATGATCAATTCCTGTAGAGGCGCTGCCAAAACATAGTCTGGTAGTGCTCTCAACAACGGGCAATTAGCAATCATCGACACTCGAAGTTGTGGCATAATGGATATTATTGAAGTGGTGTTGGCATCTTCTTCTCCCACTCTCCTTTCAATCCCATCCCACTCTTCTACTTCGTCGAGAAACGTAATCCCAAATCTTTTCAATTTGGGGAAAGCAGTGACCCTTGCAATTTCTCCTTCATTACTACTGGCCTTCTCATCTTTTTCTATACCAAAAAATCCAGCATCCAGCCTTCTCACCTTCAACGTGCCGAATGCCAGGCCTTCAAGGTTGGGCAATGTTCCGAACGGAGGCAAGACCTCCAAGTTTGTACAATCATCGAGTTCAAGCTCCTGTAATCTGGTTAATGTCAGCATCCAATTTGGCAATTCCAACCCTCCGTACCCAGATATGGTTAGATCTTCCAAGTCTGACGGAGGCCGTAAAGCTTCAATTAAAGAGCCCTCATTCGCTTGCAACTCTGTTTTCTCTCCGATGAAATTCAAATGCAAACGAAGGAGGCGCTTCTTATTCTTGAGTTGTGCTTCTGCAGCGTCACTCGCATCTTCTTTACCTCCTCCTTGATTCCGTATAACAAGACTCCCTCCAATGTGATTTAAGTTTTTTAATTCTCTTAGATTAGCTGCTTTACTTTCATTCTCACCACCACCACACACAATAAACTTATCTAATGTTCGAAGACATGTTATCCTCTCTATTCCCTTTGGTATGAAGGCCACTCCTGAACCATTAATCCAGAGATGCCTCAATTTGATAAGTTTTCCAATCGCCTTGGGCAATTCCCTGAGAGAACGACACCAAGCAACGTCTAGGGATTGCAGATTGCATAAATCACACATGGTTTCTGGCAGGGACCCCAACTCTCCACAAAATTCCAGATTGAGGTGTCTCAAATGTATCAATTTCCCTACCTCGTTTGGTATTTCTTTGATTGAAGACCCTGACAAATTCAATGCCTGATGCATGTCAACTGCTTGAACAAATCAGGCAGTGCAGCTCCAAGCGAAGGGTCTCTAGTGTCGATCAAGAGGCTGCGAAGACCTTTTGCTTTGTGAATGGACACCGGAAAAGAGGTCTCCTTTGACAGCATCATGCTTAAATGACGAACCCTTTCAATTGAAGTCTCCACTGTTGCTTCTGCAAGTGTATTGACATCCACTGTTAGACATTCATTTTTTGTCATATATTGGGCAAAATCATGCACTATATCATGCATCTTGAATCCGATATCTTCTCGACCATACGTCTTAAAATCTTGGAAGAAAGAGCGCGCTGCTAAGACTTGAAAGTACTGCTCTCCTACAAGCTCCATATCTCCACCTGAAGTCTCCTTGAGGTAACCTTGAGCCATCCACATCTTCACCAATTCATATTTTCCCATCTCGTAGTCTTTTGGAAACATGGCACAATACAAGAAACATCGTCTTACCACAGAAGGTAAATCATAGTAACTCAAAAGCAAAGGTATAAATATTCGTCTTTCAACCTGATCTCTATCAATCTCATCTGGCCTCCACAGTTCGCTGGATAAAACACGTTCCCACTCTTCTTTTGTTCTTTTAGACTGCATTAGACCTCCTAATACCTTGGCAGCTAGAGTCATGGACGGTATTGCTCCTTTATGATTACAGTTAAATCAGTTCGGTACATTAAATAACAAGTCTATTAATTGTCATAAAACTTTGATAAATGAAAAAAATGCAGTTCTGGCCTGTTGTTGGGTGGGTAAATCACCAGTACATGCCACAGCAATTCCGTGTCATCTTCCACAGCCTTATCGCAGTCGGCTGGTATTCCCTTTGTCTCCAACCTACTCATAGCTTGATTCACTTTACTAGATTTTGCGGCAAATGAAATCGGCCTTATCTTTTCCTTCATTTTCAGGGGAATATTTCTGAATCTCCGAGCAAGGTCCATGGCGTTGACCAAAGGCTAACAGGAGAAGAACATCAGAAATCATGATATGTCATCATTGATGATTTATCACCATTGATGAATAATGCTTCCAATTGCATGGATATATTATGTGGTTACCGCATTGTTTTCGGCAACCATAAACTCAGCAACATTAGTTCTTATTTATATGCGTGTAACGTGTGATGAATGTTGATTGAAAGTTTTATTGGAAATGTTTTCTACTGCTCTATGTGTTTTTACTTTACTTGTATTTTATTTTTTGAGTCTCTCTTCTAATAATTTGCTGCATGAGCTTGCACACCTATGTGTCCTTTGTTTATATTATGATGAGATTTAAAGGATTGTTATTCTCCAAGGGTAATAGACTGTGCTAATGAAGCCTGGCCGGAGCATGACTTGATTCAAGTCAAGTAAAGTAAGTTAGGTGGGTTAACTGGAATTAATTAATGATATTTTAATTTATTTTTAAAATAATAATAAATTAATATTATTGTATATAAAATAATAATAATTAGTTTTTGATCAGGTCGACTGAAATCTGTCTATGTGTGTGTACATGCATGCATGCAAACCATAAACATGTGCACAACACTGAGGTTAAAGTTTAGATTCCGTATATTAAATCAATTAATATAATACTATAATTAATTTGGTTTTGAAAATGCAAAATCATTTTACTAATCTCTTTAATTAAAGTCTATTCAGTAACTCCCATCTCTTTGCAAAGTAATGCATTGACTTGCAACCACTCGGACTCTTGCGATTACTCTTACTATTTTATGTGAGCTCAATTTAATATTGTAATAAAAAAATCTCAAAAATACTTTTTTTATATTAATTAAAAAATTATAATTTACCAATATCCATATTAATTATAATTTTATGGAAAAGAGCAGCTAAAGCGTATTTGTATATACTTAAATTTTGCAGAGATTAAAAGATAAGATTCTAAATATAAATACTTTTATCTAGAAATCATTTTCTTATCTAATAAAGAAATAAAACAAAAACTATCTCCTAAAAAAAATATAATTTTCAATACATAATGGAATTATTATTTTTAAGATTCAATAGTTCCTAAGAATTAAATATGCAAATATATATCACATAATTACTTAACAAACCATTATCCAGTGAATTGAGATATTAGAGTTTCACCTAGTTTTCTTAAACACATAATAATTAGCATTATAATTTCCTCTAATATATTAATATTTTTATTTTTATTCTTGATGCCTTTATTTAAAAAAAATACTAAATACTTGATTCCTTTATTTAGATATAGAAATTTAGTTTATTAGTCTCATAATAATACGTGTAACTCATGAGTTTTGCGCTTTCCAAAATAAGTTTGGTATTGAAAAGTATAACTTGTATGTTTGTTTTACCATGGCTGCATAAATAAAATAAAATTAAATTAAAAAAATTAAAAAAAAAAGATAGAGAAATTAAAATACTAATAATTAATATTATATAAATTATTTTTTTAATATCATGAATATATAAAGATGAATATATTCCTGGAAACCATCAACAGGTGAGCAATTAATTACCACTTTCAATAATCAAATAACGAAGAAGAGCCCGACAACTCGAGGTTCACTAATGATTGAACACTTACATGTTAGCTGGGGTATACAATAATTCCCAGGAGGTTACTGGTCGAGGCCTATAAGCGATCATACACTTGCACGTGGGTTGAGATGCATGATTATTTCCTAGAGGTAACGTGGGTTGGGGTGCACAGTAATTCCAAAGAGAGAATTCATTGTAGTACTACTAGAGTCCAAGCAGATATAACTTCGAAGTTCTCATAAGATAAGATCTGGTGTACTAGGCTAAAATTACAAGTCATAGTTAATCCTCTACCATGTAATGTAGTGATTCAGTACTCGCACCATTTCAAATTGTTATCACGTCTACAATCTATGTTTTGGTAATCTGTGTTTTTTTTTTTTTTTTTTGGGTTCAGGCATTGCTATCTATCTTGAATTCATGGCCTTCACTTAATAAAAAGTTTGGTCTGGAGAATCCTTGAACTTGAAAGGGGCTGTGATGGCATTTGGAACGCACAGGTACTGGGGGACTTGTCTTTTACTTGTAGAGATCATATCTATTGGATAACCTTATTATGATTTAATCCACTAAATTAATGTGTATCATCTTTAAAAAAAAAAAGAAAAAAGAAAAAAACAGAGAGAGAGAGAGATGTGAGAATAAATGGTAAGTAGGAAATAAAATCCAGGTCAACAATAGATTACAAATGATTTCAATCCAATTACAGCAAGGAGGTGTATGAAACAAATGGTGCTTAATACAACACTGAATGAAATCCTCCATTTGATTATACCAGATTGTCCTTCGATTTGATTCCAAAAATATTAAGGGAAAACCTTCAAATGCACAAAGTAAATCGGAACCCACTCTGAAGCAGCTCTTCAGCATGTTCTAAGCCCAAGCTGTCAAACACAGACCAAAAGCAAACGTGCCATAACCAAAACAACCCCATGAATGCTAGATGTTAAAATAAGCATTCCATTTTCCGAATGACAAAAATCCCAGTGACCTAACTATGACTTACATAATTAATTAAAATGGATTTGTTAAAATATAGTAAAATATTATACCGTTAAGGATTAACACTGGTAGAATAATTTACATGCTCCTGCCGGTTCTAATTAAAGAGTTCTGTCTTTCTCATCTATAATAATATATCATGACAATAAATATTTGGGATGTGAGAAATCTTTTGCCAATCTTCGCCCATCCCCTCCTTCCCGTAACGTTTCCTTAGAATCGGGCAACCACTTATGTCTAATTCCTGTAAAGGCGCTGCCAAATCATAGTCTGGTAGTGCTCTCAACAACGGGCATTTATGAATTCTCAACTCTTGAAGTTGCGACATAAACATAAAAGTTGTCCTTTTTATGTTGGATTATGCAAATATGGAGGTATCTATATTGATTCTGATATCACAGTTTGATTTTATTGTCTTCCGTTAGTAAATCTATTGGTCTGAAGAATCCTATGTATGGAAGTTCTTTTTTTTTAGATTAACATGGATGTCCGGGCCACCTTTCACGTATCTCGACTAATTTCACGGGTCCTGAAGTTAATGACCATGTAAGTCTTTAGTGGTCATCATATGAGTAATCAAGGACTCGAACCTGAGACTACAGAAGAATCAAATCTCTTGATCCCAAGTCCTTACCACTTGACCACCATTTAAATGGTTGTTTGGAATTTCTTTAAATGGGATTGTGATGGCATTTAGAAAGCAGAGGCACCAGGGGCTTGCCTTTCACTAGCAGAAATCATATTTATTGTTGAAGATTTTTTGTGTTGGGTTTTGATAACTTTATTTGGATTTAATCCACAAAATCGATGGGTATCATCTCTTTTAGATGAATGGTTTAGCTTCCAAGTCTACCATTCTCTCATTTATTTGGACTTAATCTACTGTAACCGAGGTTTTATTTGCGCGGATAATGATAATATTTGGTGCTAAATTTCTTCTTGTGAATTGCAGAAAACAGTTGCTTGATCTTTACTAGGATGGTGATTGCAAATAATAATTATGCAACCCGGTGCGAGTTGCATGTTAGTATGTCTAGATACAGATGATGGCCTTCTGCGGTATTAGGTTGAGATTTTGGAATTTTTTTTTTTTAATAATAGCTAGCGTTCATGTCCCCTGTATAAACAAGGTTTTGATGTAGAAGATCTAAATGCAAGCAACATGGTTGATATTCTCATGTTTAGTACATTGAATTGTCTACCCTTCAAACGTTAGGATATGAAAGAAGAGATCGACGACTCCGTCGAGACTCGATTGTTGGCACTAAGAGAAAATAGCCAACATGGTTTTTTTTTCTTCAATAAATTAGATTTTTATCTTTAAAAATAAAAAATTTAAAATTTTGTCCCTCCCTCTAAAATCTTTTATCTAATTTGACATTCCCAAACTACAATTCCTAACTGCACTGCTTACTATACACACGAAGTCATTGTTTTATGATGAAAAAATAATAATTTTGTTTATCCTTTTCTTGTACTTTTAAATTTTGGTTTCTTTTATCTTAGATTTTATGAATGATGAATTCCATAACAAGGATGATACATACCCATTAATCATACATGTCATTAATAACTTTAAAACATAGACATCTAATGGTGAAAAATATAGATACAATCATCAATTAAAAAATAAAAACAGCAATTAAATATATAAAAAAAGTAATGGAAGTACAAGAAATAAAATAGAAAAATCAAAATTAGAGACACTTCCCTTGAAAAATATGAAGAAGCAGAGGCACTGACAACACTACAGACACTCACACACACAAGATTAAGCGCATTGAATAAACGACATGGATCCTTGGAGTGGCTGTTTGTCCAGGCCTTGGTGAGGTGGTGCAGGTAAATGAATTCACACCAAACACTCACTCGCTAATCCTTTGAACTTTTTATTGATTATTTTACCCTTAATAGTTCAGTTTAAAGAGAATTGGAAACTCTTGTTTTGCCTTTTTCGGTTTTCTTTGTTAAAACTTCCTAATGAAATAATAATAATAACAACAACAATAACAATAAAAATAATTACTGTATTAATTTTTCTTGGAAAATGTTTTGACGGGCACCTTTACATATTTTCCATAGAAAGTGTCTAAGATGTTCTATGATAAGATTTCAATCCAATTACATATTTTACATATTCTTAGAAAATCCTCTCCATGTTAAAAGAATTCTTTTTGCTTTTATATCATAAATTAAACAAAAAAACCCATTCATGTTAAAACAAACTTTTCTATTTTAATTTTTAAGAATACAATGTTTAATACGAGAGATTATTAAATAATCATATAATATTTTAAATATTATTGTTATGAATTTCACTTTTGACATCAACAAAAAAGTATTGCATTAAAAATATCTAATGATAATAAAAATCTCTTATTAAAGGTAATTGGAGTTTCTCTAACTCAATATATGCTGATCAATACATGGATGTAATTATACTGTTATTTGTGGATATAATTAAATAATTAGTAAAAAAATAGATTTTCATGATAAAAAAAAAAGAGGAAACTTTGAAAAAAGAGAGACAAAAAGAGACATGATATTTAATGTCTTTGATTATTTATTTAAATTGATATTTATTAACATTGTGATACTTGATAAGAGGAACTCCTTTTGTCCTGAGGAGCCTAAATTTTTTGTTCATCTAATGATTGTTCTTTGAAAAATGGGGGATCTAATTGGAAATGTATATTGTTTGTAACCCAAACGAGAATGACATGATAATTAGAGGAAAAACAAGATGTCATTTTCCCAAAATAAAAAAATAAAAGAGAGGATATGGTGGTGGGTCAACGTGTCAACAAACCCATTAGGCCGACAGTTGATGAGTGCTGACTTTTCGTGGTGGTCCCACTTGCTAGTGACTGGTGCGCAGTGAGGGCCCTCGGATGGGCTGGTGGGCTGCCGGTGGGGGGTGTTTTCCTTTGACGGTAAATTATGGTAGTTTCCTCGCCACTCTTGGAAATGAAATTTTCAATTTGTTGAAATTTCCATGCAATTCTTGGAAAAAATTCGTCCAGAGATGATGGGTCCATGATGAAAACAGAGCAGTTTGTAAACGCGTCAAAAGTTTCACGGGATTTTGAATTTTTTTTATATATTTTTAAATAATTCTAAGATACTAATATAAAAAACAAATAGGAGCAGCCAAATCATTAAGCCAAAATTACGAGGAGCATATTCGAAAAGCAAGAGGAACTTCATCCAAGTAGGAAAGGTGTCGCAAATGGATGAAATGCTGATAGCCTGATAATATCTCATACAACTTTATCTTGTTTCCTAGGAAATCTTAGAAAGATTATGGCAGATCTCCAGAATAAAATTGAACACTGTTCCCAAATATAATCCAATGTTGCAATATAGATCCCTTCAAGTTCGTAGTTGATCCGAACGTTTTTAAACCATTACATGCTCAAACTGCTCCCAAATTCTCTGGAGCTTAATTATTCTACAATTCTCACTTGATGAAGTACATTGATATTATTTGGTTCAAGCATCTTACCCTCATGAAGGCCAGCTATCCCATACGCATCTTACCCTCGTGAAGGCCAGCTCTCCCATAGGAATTTCAAGAAGATCAGATTTGCAGAATAATTCAGAACCAAATACCACTGAGCTTACCTTCCCATGAAGGTTGATCAACAGTGTATATGTGTCAGTAGAGGGCTGGCAGCCATCACTTTTCATTCGCTGAAAGATCTCAATTGCTCTTTGAGGGGTTCCAGCCTTCATTAACCCATCAATACAAGCATTGTATACAATTGCACCTGGCCAAAATTAGAGTATACGCTCACTTTTCACTCCTTGAATGTGCATGCAAGTGTATCAACAGAACAGCTTGAAAAATGAAAATCTGAGACTTGTAAATAAGAGAATGAAACACAAAAGCAGAACTAATGCCCTGTATTTCACCACCACAAAAAGAAGAGAAATAACCCACGCATTCTCATAAAGGAAAGCTACAGAAGAAAGTTTGTCATCCAGGAGCCTCTAGCCTAATCCAGTTCCAATCTAGCTAAATTAGCAAGGGGTCCCTACTGGTTTAATCAACCATTCTCTAAGCATGGTGATGTAGATAAGGAGTAGTAATCACTACTAGTATAGTAGCAACAAGAAATATGCAGGCCATGAACCAATCTTCTCTTTTTCTACGTTTAGTATACTTCACCCCCGAAAAGAAAAAATAAATACAGCTCTGTGCAATAATTGAGCGAGGTTTCAAAATTTAAAACGAATATAACCCCACAAAAAATCAATTTTTGAGGAAAAGAATCTTAAAAGTTGAGGAAATTTTTGATTTATAAGAAATGGTTGTAGTCCAATAACTTCTTGAAAATATAATTCCCCTGAAAGCTAAGAAGAAATGAATTGGTAAACACATACTTGGAGGAAGGCTATACTTTCGCATATCAACAAAGGCAGCTTCAGCTTTTTCTAACAATCCACATGCACAGTAAGCCTTTATAAGAAGGGCATAAGTGTCTTCAGTAGGGATACACCTGGCTTGAAGAAGATCAACATATGTTTCTTCTGCCTTCTTGTACAAAGATTTATGCCCATAAGCATCTATTAGTAAATTGGAGCACATGACATCAGTCTGGAAGGAGCTATTGTACAATATCCATTGACATATCTGGAAATTTTAGAGTTACACAAAATTTTAGAGTTACACCCAACAAGATTATTAAGAATTAACTATTAAGAACTCACAATTTAAAAATGTCGATATAATAAATAGAGACAGTAAAGAGATTTGTTTCATTTAGTTGTAGGAATATGCTGGTATATGAGAATTCCAAACACCAACTGCAGCACAAACCACTTAATGATTGAAGAGAAAAATGTTATGCAAATATCCTGCCACAAAACTATGTCCGTGCAATGTGGTTTAATCCATCGCCTACCACCTTACATGATGAAAGAAATAAAGCACGATTTACTCACCAATGCAATTGGATCCCATTGTTTATTCAAACGAAGTTGGAAGGCTACATTAACAAGATCATCCCAAGTCTCGTGAGTGACAGGAAGTGTATCAAGAACAGCCCAGACATTATTCGGATCCACTTCTTTCCACACAAAGTTCAGAATCTGATGAGCAACAGGACTTAGCACTGGGAAAAATCCATCAACAAATCCAGATCCATATTTCCATCCTTGTCCCCTCAAAGAGCCACCTAGGTATAAAAGATGTCTTAATAATTGAAGCCATATTTGCTTGAGCAGTTATATGTATGAGCACAGAGTGAATTACTCCGTATTACATCGTTTCCTGGACATCTTTTTCTGATCAAAGATTCGCCATTTGCCATGTTTGTCTATATAGACCCTGTCGCTTTTCCACATTTTAACATCTCCACTTCTGGAATTCTTTTCTCTGCGTCTGAAATGACCATTCCGGATTCTTGATTCTATAAAAATATGATTCAGTGTGCATCTAACAAGCAACCTGCAAACACTAATCAAGTAAACACACAATTGCCAGCAACAAACATACACACCTCTTAATTTAAAGCCATTACACAGAGGAAGCAACCAAATAAAATCCATATAAAGGATGCTTTAGACTTCAAAATAATTGGACAAAGAGAGACACTAAAACTACTTTTAATCACAATAGCAAACACATGAAATGCAAACCAGAAAACCTAGTTAAAAAAGAAGAAGAAAAGTTGTCAACTTTCCCTTTCTAAACCAAATATCTTCTCCCTTTCTTCAGTAATAATTCTTAACTGCTGTGAGTATAGGTTGTATTTTCATTACAGAATGAAATATTAGTCTAAACTATCTGATTAAACTACAAAAATCAAAATTTGCAAGATTAAACTACAAAAAACGCAAAAAAACAAAACGGTTTCCGGCCAACAACATAGTATCTAAGCACCCATCAACAACAGTACATTCTAAAATGACAAGAAAATGAGAAAGAAAAAAAAAGAGAGAGAGAGCTTAAATTGCAACAGTACATTCCGAGAGAAGTTTGGCCTGATCCAACGGCAGTCAATGCGTGTTCAATCTGTACTAGCTTTCCTGTAGGACTGAAAGTAGTGAGAGAAAAGGAGTACTGGCTATCACCCATGGTTTATTGCTTGAAGACGCAGAGAGGAAAAGCCGACAATGCGAGCGTGTGGGAGAGAAAGACTGGGATGTTTACCTGGGGTTTTAACTTTGCTTTTCTTGTTGGAGAAGAAGGTGTTTTCCTACGAGGGCTTTTACAATGGAGTATATTGGGCTTTTATGACGGCAGGTTGGTCCTCTTTACATCGAGCTCAATGAAGGCTTGGAACCAGTTTTGTTTTCAAGTATTATTAACAAATTTTTATTTATTTATTAATATACATAATTTTTAATTTATTTAATTACATGTATATATAAATTTTTTAATTTATTATATTTTTGGAACTAGAAAAATATATTTAAAGAACTGCATATATAAATTTTTATAAAAATAAAAATACTTGACTCACAATAAATCATCCATATTTTTATAAAAAGTAAAGATGGGTAAACTCTTAATTAGGCCTTGCTGCTGAATTTTTTTGTTGATTTGTAATTTAATTATTGTTGAAGATTTTTTGTGTTAGGTTTATTAATAACATAAAACATATGGTTATTAATACTATTGGTCTGAAGAATCCTCTGTCTGGAAGTTCTTTGAATGGGGCTGTGATGGCATTTAGAAAGCACAGGTACTAGGGGGCTTGCCTTTCACTAGCAGAAATCATACTTATTGTTGAAGTTGTTGTGTTAGGTTTAGATAACTTTATTTGGATTTAATACACAAAATCGATGGGTATCATCTCTTATAGATGAATGGTTTAGCTTCCAAGTCTACCATTCTCTCATTTATTTGGATTTAATCCACTGAAACTGAGGTTTAAGAATTTCCTGGATTTAATCCACTGAAACAGTTGCTTAATCAAAATCATTGGCTTGTTTGAAGGTAGATAAAGGCATAAAAAAAAAAAAAAGCGAGAGAGAGAGAGAGGATGTGAGAAATAATTATAGATATGAGTTACAGTATTTGAAATTTCAAAGGCAATTTTTTTAGAGTGGCATTTGGAGAATTTAAGTAAGGAATAAGCTTCACGTGAGCGAGAGATAATTTCATCTTAGATTAATTTTTTAACATGTAAAATTCAATAATTAAATAAAAAAGTTACCTCAACCTTCCAGCCAGTATTAACTATTCTTTAAATATAAACATATGAATTACATATTATTTTATATACGTTGAGAGAGAGAGAGGATGTGAGAGGGGTATATATATCGCAGCTGCATTTGATAGAATAAATGGTAAATAGGAAATACAATCAAAGTCAACAATATGAAACATGAATATTATCTAATAGAAATGATTGGGATGTGAGAAATCTTGCCAATCTTCACCCATCTCCTCCTCCTTCCCGTAGCGTTTCCTTAGATTAAAGCAACCAATTATTCTGTTCCTGCTGGTTCTCAAGACTAAAGAGTTCTGTCTTTCTCACCTATTTATCAAAAAAAATAAATGTTTGGGATGTGAGAAATCTTTTGCCAATCTTCACCCATCTCCTCCTTCCCGTAACGTTTCCTTAGAATTGGGCAATCACTTATCTCCAATTCCTGTAGAGGCGCTGCCAAAACATAGTCTGGTAGTGCTCTCAACAACGGGCAATTACTATTTCTCAACAGTCGAAGTTGTGGCATAATGGATATTTTTGAAGTTGTGTTGGCATCTTCTTCTCCCACTCTCCTTTCAATTCCTTCCCACTCTTCTACTTCTTTGAGATTACAAATGCGAAGTTCTTTTAATTTGGGGAAAGCAGTGACCCTTGCAATTTCTCCTTCATTAATACTGCCATTCTCATCCTTTTCTATACCTAAAAATCCAGCATCCAGCCTTCTCACCTTCAACGAGTTCAATACCACGCTTTCAAGGTTGGGCAATCTTCCCAACGGAGGCAAGACCTCCACGTTTTTGCAATGAACGAGTGAAAGCCCCCGTAATCTGGTTAATGTCATCATCCAATTTGGCAAATCCAACCCTCCGTACCCATCTATGGTTAGATCTTCCAAGTCTGACGGAGGCCTTAAAGCTTCAATTAAAATGCCGCTCTCCTGGTTGTAGTCAAAAACCAATCGCAAACGAAGCAGGCGCTTCTTATTCTTGAGTTGTGCTTCTGCAGCGTCACTCGCATCTTCTTTACCTCCTCCTAGATTCCGTATAACAAGACTCCCTCCAATGTGATTTAAGTTTTTTAATTCTCTTAGATTAGCTGCTTTACTATCATTCTCACCACCACCACACACAGTAAATACATCTAATGTTTGAAGACATGTTATCCTCTCTATTCCCTTTGGTATGAAGGCCACATCTGAATCATCAATTCGGAGATGCCTCAATTTGATAAGTTTTCCAATAGCCTTGGGCAATTCCTTGAGAGAATAACACCAAGTAACGTCTAGGGATTGCAGATTGCATAAATCACACATAGTTTCTGGCAGGGACCCCAACACTCCACAATATGCCAAATTGAGGTGTCTCAAATGTATCAATTTCCCTACCTCGTTTGGTATTTCTTTGATTGAAGACCCTGTCAAATTCAATGACCTGATGCATGTCAACTGCTTGAATACATCAGGTAGTGCAGCTCCAAGCGAAGGGTCTCTAGTATGGATCAAGAGGCTGCGAAGACCTTTTGCTTTGTGAATGGACACCGGAAAAGAGGTCTCCTTTGACAGCATCATGCTTAAATGACGAACCCTTTCAATTGAAGTCTCCACTGTTGCGCCTCCAAGTGTATTGACATCCACTGTTAGACATTCATTTTTTGTCATATATTGGGCAAAATCATGCACTATATCATGCATCTTGAATCCGATATCTTCTCGACCATACGTCTTAAAATCTTGGAAGAAAGAGCGCGCTGCTAAGACTTGAAAGTACTGCTCCCCTACAAGCTCCATATCTCCACCTGAATTCTCCTTGAGGTAACCTTGAGCCATCCACATCTTCACCAACTCATCTTTTCCCATCTCGTAGTCTTTTGGAAACATGGCACAATACAAGAAACATCGTCTTACCACAGAAGGTAAATCGTAGTAACTCAAAAGCAAAGGTATAAATATTCGTCTTTCAACCTGATCTCTATCAACCTCATCTAGCCTCCACAGTTCGCTAGATAAAACACGTTCCCACTCTCCTCTTGTTCTTTTAGACTGCATTAGACCTCCTAATACCTTGGCAGCTAGAGGCAAGCCCTTGCACTTGTTTGCAATTTTCTCGCCGATATCTGTCAATCTTTCCCGCTCATCTTTGCTTCTTTCCTGGAATGCAACATGATTGAATATTGACCCGCACATCTCGTCGGACAATTCCTTAATGTTGATCCGGTGGCCAGTACTTCCCATCATCGTTGCCACAGCGTCCTTACGAGTGGTCACTAGAATTCTGCTTCCTCGTGCACAGCCTGTGAGAGATGGTTTCAGTTTTTCCCATTGTCCATGATTTTCTGTCCATACATCATCAAGGACAAGAAGGAAACTCTTACCCTTAATGGATTCAGAAACCCTTTGCAAAAGGGATTGCAATTCAACCAAATTCGGTGCACTCCCTTCAAGCTGCTCAAGGATAGCTTTTGCTATTTTAACCTCATCAAATGGATCTGAAACACACACCCATATCGTTTTCTCAAAATGAGCCTTAACCTCAGAATCATTAAAAGCTACTTGGGCGAGAGTTGTTTTTCCAATTCCGCCCAGCCCTACTAGAGAGATGACATCCACGTCCCGTGCTTTTTGACTACTTTCAGCCAACAACTTGCTTACAACATTTTTCTTTTCATCATCTCGACCAATCACGCTTGATTCATCAACAAAGGAGGTAGTTGTTAGTCGCTGGAGTTCATCGGTGACTCTGATATCAGTGTCTCTGTACAGAGCAAAGCCATACATATCTCTCGCTTTGGCAATGTCATCCACTTTTTCACATACTTCTTTGATCTTAAGGGCAATGTCGCGACGTCGAACCACTTGATTGAGACAAAAGCAAGGAGATTTCAGGAAGGAACATCGCATCTTCTGTAGGCTGCGAGTATTTTCTTCAGCTTCCTCCATTTTCCATCTAAGAATTGCAGTGCTCCATTCATCTAGCACGTCATCCATATCATAACATACATTTTTGAGCTTGTCTACCCAATCTCTTACAGCCTTATCCTTCACTTGTTTTCTATCTGCATCTTCAAGGACAGATTGGATAGAAAGGAGATTGCTTTTCAGCTTGTCGACTTGTTTCTTCACATCCCCTACTAGGCTCACCTCTTCTCGTACCTATTAGTGTGGAAAAGATAAAGAAGTTCAGGCAGAGCAAACATTTCCATGATTTCACTACAAGTTTTTAATTTTATTTTTAATTTTTGGTAATTAATAGATTAAATAATTTTTATTTATCTTTTTTTCGCAGTAGTTGACACTACAGTGAAATGGATTCGCTATATTAATAATTTATATATAAAATATTTATTAAAAACCATTACATTAAAAATAATAATATTTCTTTTTAACATCATCATGATGATATCTATGTCTGCACTCTGCTACTATACAAGAAGGAAGAAAATGAATCTTAAATTGTTCGAAGTCAAACCTATATATAACATAAGCTTGGAAATATAGAGAATAAAAGGAACATATTATTTTGACATCTGATTGATTATTTTACCCTTAGTAGTTCAGTTTAATGAGAGGATCGACAACTCCATTTTCCTTCTAAGAATATTTGCTTAGATTATTTCCAGAAATATGAAAAACAATAAAACAACAAAAAGAAATTTCTTTAATAAAATCCAAATCTAGATCTGAGGATTTGATATTTTATTTTGTTTTTCTAATAAAGGAAGAAAAAGAGACTTCATTTTTATATTTCTTATTCATGTATGGGTTAATTAGATCATTGCAAATTGTATGCAAGTAATTACCTGTTGAGCAACGACGGCGCTTAACTGATCCAAAATTGGCGATACAAGTGCCTCTGCCATTTGTCTGTTTAATTTAATTTAATTTAATTTAATTATTTTTAAAAAAGAGACAATGATGATAGGATGAACTGAAAAAGAGAGAGAAGAGAGTGTGAGTGGAAGGAGGCTGCTGGTTCAGTTAGTTTATGTACTTAGGGTTTGGTGATGAGGGTTGACTTTTGTTTCAGTCCCTGTACTGTTTTTAACACTTCAATTCAGTCCCTGTATTATTGTAGCTTTTCAGTCTAGTCCTGGTTGTATGTTTCTAGTTCTACTGAGAATGACATGCCATCTTGAGTTCCAAAGGTGAAACACTCGTGCTTTTCAATTCTTCCGAGTTCTAGGCTAAGGATTATTATTTGTGGAAAGTAATTTCTTCCACCGAGTTCTAGGCTTAGGTTAAGAATGCTGTCGTGTCTACTGAAATGTATCTGATAGGGACAACTGATTATAGCATTCTACTGAAATTCCTGCTTCTCATCAGCTTCTCTATTTCTTCTCTTCATTTTATGTTATTCCACTAATCTTACAAACTGGATCATGGTAATATATATCTGTCCATCCAAACTAATTGCAAAGAAACAGAGTCCAACTTGATTAATACGAAAGCTAGGTTATAAAATATCGTCAGACAAAGCACTGAAGGTCTACTACATCAGATGACCCTTCATAGTTCTTGGCCTGGTTGAATAGGTTGTCTTGGCTCCCAGAAAAGCACAGAAGACAAACAAAACAGAGACAGCTAGAGTACATTGTGTAGCTTAAGCTTATTATGCATGAAGTCTTTAGTCGTTAGTTTTGTGGGTTGGACTGTTGAGGAAAGTTCTTGTATAAAAGATCAGAAGGTCTATTAGGGGAAGAAGAGGGGTATGTGACTTGGTGAGATTCTTCATTTATTATTATTTCCTTGTGGTGGATACCGTGGTTTAGCCAGATGAAGTGAATTGTTGCATGACAACAGCAGTTTCCCTCACAAGTTGTTCGACAGGAATTGGTTCCTACTATCATAAAAATTCACAAGTTACAACCTTCACGATTTAACAAGTCTTGTATACAGACAACCTCAATAAGTACTTTCCAGATGTATTATCTTAACCAGGCCATCAAGCATTAGAGGAGTTATGTACATGAGTTTGTATAGAGACATCAAAAGGATGCCCACACACCATTCATAAGATAAGCCATGAAAATTTAGCAACCTTATCACTTATCAGTGACATTAAAAGAAGAGCTGAAAAACAAACGTTAAGCAAAACAATAAAGAAATCTTGAAGATGGGTACAGTCTATGATATTGTTCTGCTTGCTTCCTACTTTTCCGAACCAAAACTCAAAAGTCAGGACCCATTCCACTGCAACAAAATACATTTGATTTAGCACTGTTAAGAAAAAAGTTGAGCAGAGCAACCCCATTTGACACAGGCTAATATGGTGCACAAGTTAGTAAGAAGTGGCTCATTGAGCAACCAAATAGCCAAGATGTCTTATTTCAAACCATAGTACAGAGGAATGCCTTATTTTTA